ATGTTGTTTGTTTAATTTAAGACTAAAAGAAAATTAAATGAATGAGAGGTAAAAATTGAGGGGGTAGGGACAAATAAGTAAATACTTCTGCCTACTCCTTTTCAAACAAATAATGGAATGATATTTTGTAATGATTGTGAAGGCACATGTTTGAAATGTTTGAAATAAAAATGAAATATTGTAAAGAATATTATTCTAATGAAATATTCTGATAAAATATGTGACATTTAACTTTTTAAAATGTTTTAAAAAAATGTAAATTTCCAATCAGCTGTTAATAACACTTCCTACTTCCTATCCCAGAAACGATAGTTCCTTATAGTGCAAACTATCATTTCTGGGATGCTTGGAACTGAAATCGCACTGCTGGAAATAGTTTATTTTGATGCACATCCTGTTTTCTTTGCAAGTTTGCATTGTAATATTTATTTTCATTTTTCCTGCAGTATATAAAAATTTGTGTATCTCAAAAAAAAAATTAAATTATAAAGACACTCAAAATAAATTTCCTGTTGTTGTAAAATATTTTTTGCAACTTATTGTAATTAAAGTTTTGAGGGATATCCCATTGAAATTTCTCTTACTAGAAATTTATGTTAAAAAAACCCCCAACTAATTTCAATTTTGTTGTAGTTTATTGTACATTTTTGAAATTTATATAATTACTACGGACTTAATACATACATATTATTACAATTTGGGCTATAATGGCTGTATTGATGTGAAGCAACTTGAAGTGGTCCCAAAAATGGCTCTACAACATCTATAAAGATAAGCTCTGGTGGGCCTGGTTCTATGATAGGTCCTCAAGGGTTAAAACACAAATTAATAAATATAGAATTACTAATAGTTGTGTTGTTTTCATTTGTCTACTGTCATTTTTGATTTCCTCTGCCTTTATAATTGCAAACAACATATGAAAGTATGAGAAAGTGGCCGCTTTCATGAGTAAATCATATAAGCCTTATATGATTCACTATATGAAGTAGGCCACATCTTATAAAAGTTTTTTTTATAAGTTTTTACCATTTCTTTTCCGTATGGGTGTACGTGCTTTGTAGTTCTAACGTGATTTGTCTCTAGGGGCCACCTTATATATTTATATAT